TTGACTCCACGTTCCTTATCGTACCCCCTAATATTCAAATTATATAAATTGTAGTCATTAATAGGTCGATAATTTCATGAAATGGCCTTCGTTCCAGAGTTGATCTGAAACATAAGAATTGTACTAAATAATTTATGATTTTATGTGCGCTATCATAATAACAAGCGAGCATAAATTTTTTTTTGTTTTTCAAATTCCTTAAACGCATAGTCAGATACAAAATCCGTTGTACAGTCTTATTTTTTTTTTTCAAAAAATTTATTTATTGGAAAAAAAAATCACATTTTTTTTCAATAATTTTAAACTTAAACTTCTTCATTCTTTATACAATGCGTTTATTCTGCCACCTTTTTTTTTTCTTTCATATTCTTATGACATTTATTGAATCTTTATGAAGATTTATGCTCTGTTGTTAATTTTTAACACATTTTAACTAACTTCTGTTTTTTCGAATTTAACATAAATCTCAGATTTATAATCGATTTTTTTTCTCTTATACTTTCAATTATTATTATTTTTCTTTTGATCGAAATGAACTCAATTGAATTTTACACTTTACAAGTACAATAATAAATAAAGTGGAAGAAAATACAAAAAGAACAAAAAATAAATTGAATTAAAATATTTTTTAAGGATCTCTTTTAAATATCGGTATAGTCATATCAATATTTTTTTGCCGGAATTCTGATGAAATTACCTCTTAAACACTACTTAGAAAACCTCTACTTTAGAATAAATGTAAACATGGAATTATTGTCGGTCTTTTTGATTATTTGAAAATCGAAAAAAATGGAATAAAATTTTGTGACTGAGAACTATAGATACTATTACAAAGTTATTTGATTAATAAGTTTTTAATTTTGATGTTAATTAATAAATTAATTCATGCGGAGCCACATTCAGAATTATGCAGAAAAAAATAAGTGACAATTCTGCACTAACAAATAATTAAACTTTCAAAAACTCCACTAAATTACCTTTAAGATCTTACAACTTATGTGCAAATAATTCTATAATATTGATTTTACAGCTTGTAATCGAGAATTAGTAAGGAATGCTAGTAAATAAAGCATATTAGTAAAGTTCTAACTCACTAACTTATGAAATAGATAAGAAAATCAAAAACAAAATCATTTTATACAAATATTACTTGCAATATGGAAGTACCTTATATTATGTCAATTGTATTTTAAGCAAGAGCTAGACGAAAATATAAAAAAATATTCCAAATGAAATCATTTTGGTTTTGAATTTCAATATTTGGAGCCAAAATCAATACAATTTGGCGGGCGAATTTGCGAAACGACAAGGGATCTGTGGCCGAAGAAAGAAAGGACAAAGATAAGAGAGTTGCTAACATTGAGAAGAGTGATATCGGTATTGCAGTGAGCATTTTAACGGAACTCTTTTATTGGGAAAGATGGCTAAGAAGCTTGGTATTTCTTCATCGAATATTTGCTGGGGATGCCTGATGTGGAGGAGGAAACCCTTCTTGTGAGGATACCTGTTCGAAGGATTGGGGAAAATCCCGGAGGCGCCTGTGGGCAATCTGTTAAATTTTTTTAAAGGACTTCAATGGATTTAGCTGAGGGAAAGTGTATTGTGGAGGTCGTTCCAATGGACCTTCCACTGGCTTCCCTCTCTAGTTAACTAACTAACTAACGTCAATACCTGCCCAAAATATCCATGCGTTTAATTGAAAATAATCATAAAAGCATATAAGCGAAAACCTTTATTATAAAATATATATGCGCCATCACAAAAATCAGTTCTATTCCACCAATATAAAGTGTTTTTGCTACTCCTTACACTATATAAGTGCAGAAGAAATTCAAAAAAATGAAATACTCGTATATTTATTAAGAAAAAAAAAAACGTGAACAACGCACAATGAATCATTAATTTTGATCCAATCAAGGTGTCAATGAAAGTAGTCACTAAAGAACTCTTAAAAATAATATAAAAGAAAATAAATGTTTAATAAATGTTGCGTAGGTGCCAGCTAACTTTTAATAAAATTTAATAATAATAATGATAATAACAATAATAATAATAATAGTTATCATTTTTGTTACTTTTTTGTAAAAAAACATTATTTATTGTTAAAGATGCGAGAAAAATATTGTATAACTTCTGTAGGTTGCTTTGTCCACTCAATGATATTAAATTCTGTTTTTTTTTCACTTTAATAAAAAATCACCTCAAAAATGTAAGAAAATATAACAAAAGAGTAAAATACAAGGTATAACTATGTTGAAATAATAAAAACATAACCAGAATGAAATGAAAAAAAATTTTTTTTGCATATTTTTCAACTTGATTACTAAGAGGACAATTTACACGTTAATATATAGAGGTACATAATATAAAGGACATACATATTCTAATTATATTTGGAATAAAGAAATTATCAATGAATTTTAGTTGGTATATAGGTTGGGACTGCAGTTAGCATTATGATATTGTTATTTATGTCTCCTTATAATGTTATACAACAATAAAATTAAATTTATTTTTTAACTTGCGACCAGTTCATATGTAATGTGATTGTTTTGTGTAATATTTTGATAATATAGTAGCAAACAATACAATTTGAAGTTGTCATATACACAATAAATTTCATACATACATTAAAAATCTATACGCAGTATATTTCAAGAGTTCATGTAAAGAATTCCAAACTAAGACTCAAAACATTTTAGTGAATTAAAATTATTTGTTAATTGATATTAAAAATTGTTGTTAACAAGACTAATACCGATAATAGAAAATAAGAAATTGATTCCAAATCATCAGTTTGATTTTAGATCGAAGCATACAACAGTTGGCCAAGTACACAGAATAATAAAGGTGTTAGAACATAGGAGAATATGTTCGACAATATTTCTGGACATGTCTCAGTCATTTGATAAGGTTGGTCAATTCCAGTTTATTATTTAAACTTAATAAATTTACACATTTACATTTCGTGAAATTACTTAAATCATATTAATCTGACAGATTTTTTCGAATTAAACAAGAAGTGAAGTACTCCTAAAGCAGTGTTCTTGATCCTATATTATAAGTGTTTTATACAAAAATGATTCAAAAGATTTAGGGGATATAACTGTGCCTACATTTGCTGGTGATACAGCAATATTAGCAGTGGGATATAATGTTAAGTAACCCACAAAAAACTCTTTCGATGGGATTCCACCTTGCCGCGGTGAAGGAGCTTAAGTAGGGTCAATGATCTTGAGAGCGATGTCGGCGGGTACTACAATTCTGTAGTATCTGGAAGGTGCAACCATGCCGATAAGGTCGAAAGTGAGACCAGAAAACCAAGAGAATCTCACGGGCTTGAAGTAACGGCGCAAGCCAATCTTCAGCAAGTCCCACGGGCATGAAGTAACAGCGTAAGCTAATCTTCAACAAGTCCCACCCCCCCCCCCCCAATCCAATGGTGTTATACGACCCGTGCCTAGTGGACTAGTTGGTAGCCGGGGGGTATTCTGGCTACCGCGAACGGAGTCTCTCTGATACCGGGTCGCCTCAGAGAGTAACGATGACCTTATCCTGGTAAGTCGGCTCTGGCAGGATGGACTGTTTTTCCGGACACACTCGTGGGATCAAAATGGAAGATTCAATTAAAAAAATTTTAAAAAAACAAGAGCCAATTGGCACCTCGTCAGAAGACGAGATACTAGCTTCCAGTCAGGAAGCAGGTGTATCGATTGGTGGTGATGAAACCAGTAAGGTAGCAAAACCACCAGAACAATCTACACAAAAAGCTAAAGGAACCAGCCATAGTTCCAAAAGCAAAAAATCAAAAGGACCCGCCTTCGTACTCAAGAAGAGATATTCGAAGGCCGTCTTCATTTTAGGTAAGATTGCCCAGAATGAAGCAGAAGGTAAAACTTCTGAAAAAGACGCGGAGGACAAAGTCAAATACCAGAAGGTAATTGACGAGTACAATGCGTATAAGAACACGAAGCCTCAAGAGACCACAAAAAGAGTAAGGTCTCAAGATGACGATAGAAATGCTCAAGAGAGCAAAAGGTCGAAGGTCGTCAAGCCAGGGACAACCAGACCTTCAACATCAAGTGGAAATTGTGCACAGGGGAGAACAATGAGCGAGGTGGTCCGTGATCATCTCCAGTTTGGGGTGGTGGACAGAAAGTCTACCAACCTGAAGTTGTCCTCCGAGTTATGGTGCAAGGTCGAAGCAAAATTATCGGAGATGGTGGTTGAACATCTCCTAACGACCGATGGCAACGAAGTCCTGAGCTTCGATTCATCTGAGGTAGTCAGGGGCTACAGGGTGATCAAATGCGAGGACCGGCTTTCCGGGGATTTTCTTAGTTCGTGTGTTGCTAAGATTAGCGATACATGGGATGGGTCCAAGGTTGAGCTCATCCCAGCTAAGGAAATTCCTAGGAGACCCCGGGCTCGTATTTGGATCCCTAAGATGAATATTGCGGGGGACAAGTTGTTAAAGGTCCTAAAAATTGCCAATCCTGAGGTGCCGATGGATGATTGGCAAATTATCAAGAAGGAGGAGCCTCAGAAAAACAGTGAGTCCTTCCTACTTCTCATTAATGAGGAGAGTCTACAGCCGTTGGACAGGAGGGACAACAGATTGCGGTTTGGCATACGGCATGCCAAACTCAAAATATTTCGAAGTGCGGACCCAGAAGGGGACGCCATAGAAGAAGCGAGCCAGCTCTTTGGACAGATGGAGGTGGCTGATAAGAGCAAGAGCGATGAGGGTAATCCAGGTTAATCTCAAGCATTCGAGATTAGCCTCGGATAACCTATTGATCTTCCTAGAAGAGGAAGACATCGACATCGCTCTAATTCAGGAGCCTTGGGTGAACGGTAACAGGATAAAGGGACTGGGCACCCAGAAATACAACCTATTCTACAAGATTGTAGATCCAGCTGAAGGTAAGATCAGAACTTGTGTCTTAACTAAAAAACATGTAAAAGCCTTTCTTTGCTCTAATTTCAGTACCGCAGACATGACGGTGGTGAGGATTGAAGGAAACGGCGGGAACCTATTAATGAGCTCAGTCTACATGGCTCATGATAGGCCTGCTCCACCTCCGGAAGTTCAAAACCTAGCAGGGGCTGGCGCAGCCGAAGGAGCAAGTCTGCTTATGGGTTGCGACGCCAATGCCAGACATACCCTCTGGGGCAGCACAGAGATCAACGAACGAGGTGAGTCTTTATTTAATTTTGTCTTAGATAGTAGTCTGGAGATAGCAAATAGAGGCAACACCCCTACCTTCACTTTTCCTAGCACAGACAGGTTTGCTGGCTGGGAAGATGTGATAGATATAACACTTAAAACTAACAACTGTATAATCGAGGACTGGAGGGTATCTAGCAAAAGGTCGTATTCTGACCATGCCTGGATAATCTTCACAGTGGGATTCGAAGTTGGGAATCCCAAACCTTTTAGGAACCCTAAAAGAACAGATTGGGTTAAATTCAGAGCCATCGTGCGGGCCAAGTTCATGGTCATGCCCGATATGAACAACTATATTAAAGAAGTTGAAGAACTTGATGCGCAAATCAGTAGATTTGAGAAAGTCATGGGCGTGGCTTTCAGAGCATCATGTCCTTTGAAATATTCAAAAAAACAGTATCCCCCGTAGTGGAACGAAGACTTGAGTAATCTCCGGAATATTACCAGGGATGTCTTCAATATCTGCTACAAGAATGGGTTCTGGCAACCTTATAAGGAGTGCCTGAGAGAGTATAAGAGGGCTATCCGTTCCGCAAAAAGCCAGTGTTGGAGGGATTTTTGTGGAACTGTAGAATGTACCAGGGATTCTGCCAGATTGGGCAGAGTGCTTTCCAAGGACCATACCAGTCCTTCTTTTCTGAAGGATGGGGGTGGGACATGGACAAAAACATCTATGAAACTCTCAATTTACTAGTGGACACGATTCCCTTCCGGGGCAGCCTGTGTCGAGTGAAATGGTTGAAGCTATTATAACGGTGGAGAAGGTTAGCTGGGCGATAGATAACTTCTCTCCATACAAAACGGCGGGGATAGGTGAGATATTTCCAGCTATGTTACAGAAGACGAAGGAACTAATAGTTCCGTGGCTTCTAAAAGTTTTTAGAAGTTGTCTTATCCTTGGATACGTGCCCAAGTCGTGGAGACGTGTAAAAGTTGTTTTCATTCCCAAACCGGGAAGAAGGGGCCATGAGGGCGCCAAAGATTTTCGACCAATTAGTTTGACTTCCTTCGTTCTAAAAGCGCTGGAGCGCGTTCTGGAGCTAGGGCTCAGGAACAGAATGAAGGAAGTTCGACTTTCACCTTCCCAGCATGCATATTGCGGGGGAAGGTCCACAGACACCGCACTACACGAGGTAGTGAGGACTATCGAACAATCTATCCATTATAAGCAATACACGTTGGCGGCCTTTCTAGACGTGGAAGGTGCTTTCAACAATATTGGTTCGTGGGCCATAGAAAATTCTCTGACTCAGTTGGGTTTGGAAGATGCTGTGGTACGCTGGATATTATCCATGCTGCGGACCAGGATCCTGTATTCGGATCTTGGTGATAGTAGTGTCACAAGGTACATTAGTAGAGGAACGCCCCAAGGTGGGGTGATTTCGCCGCTTTTGTGGCTTGTTGTTATGAACGAAGTTCTACTGCAACTTGACGAAAGACGAGTGAAGGCAGTAGCATACGCTGACGACCTAGTAATCCTGGTTTCCGGCTTTGACCTTCCAACAATCAGTGGGGTTTTGGAAGGATCTCTAAATGTGGTGAGCTCTTGGGCTAAAAGATGTGGCCTTGGAGTGAACCCAGCCAAGACGGAACTTGTACTTTTTACGACTAAGACAAAAATCCCGAGCTTTGGACTGCCTCGATTGGGTGGTTTGCCGCTCAGTTTGAGTCCAACAGTTAAGTATTTGGGAGTCATACTCGACTCTAAGCTTAACTGGAAGCTTAACGTGCAAGAGAGGGTGAACAGGGCCTGTACGGCACTTTACACCTGCAAAAAGATGGTCGGCAGGAGGTGGGGACTAAAACCTAGAATGGTTTTATGGTTATACACGGCCATTGTACGACCTATATTAACTTACGGTTCACTCGTGTGGTGGCCGGCGTTGGAGAAAGCTTACAACTGTACCAAGATCGGTAGGGTACAGAGGGCTGCATGCATAAGCATTACGGGGGCATTGAGATCGACGCCCACGGACGCTATGGATGTACTCCTCCATTTGCTTCCACCAGACATCCATATTAAGAATCTGGCCGCGGCAGGCGCCGTTAGACTCAGAGAAGCTGAGTGCTGGCACGAAAAGCCGTATGGCCACGGCAATGTCCTTCAGTCACTACCGGACGGAGTGGTTGCAGATGCTACAGACTATTGTATCCCTAGACTTGAGCTTGACAAAAAGTTTCGGGTTGAGCTTCCGTCTCGCGGGCAGTGGAAAAGAAATCTTCCACTGCAAGGCTTTGATATTGCTCTCTTCACTGACGGTTCCAAGGATAGGAATGGGGTCGGTGCTGGAGTATTTTCAGAGACTCAGAACATATCGGAGTCATATCGCCTTTCCGACAGATCAAGCGTGTTCCAGGCGGAAGGAATCCTGGGAAGGGATTTGGTTGTGGCCCGGGAGGTCGCAATTGTGACGGATAGTCAGGCTGCGATTCTGGCTCTAAATTCGCCAAAGATATTCTCAAAGTTGGTAGGGCTTTGCTACGATGAGCTGACGAGATTGTGCAGTCATCATAGTATCACCTTACTCTGGGTTCCGGGACTAGGAACATACCAGGAAATGAGCGGGCTGACGAACTGGCCAGATGTGGGTCGGCATTGGACGGCTCCAGGGCCGAGCGAGTTCTTGTCCCTATAAACACCATCAAAACTGATATATATCGCTTCCAAGTGGCATGTGCGGACCACAGGTGGAGGGGCCTGAGCACATGTGCAACGGCTAGGAAGACGTAGCCGAAATACGACCATAAGAAATCAATGAGCCTCCTGGCGATGCCTCGACCGGACATAGCTAAGTTAGTGGCTGTGTACACGGGGCATTGGCCTGTGGGGGATCATGCAGCTAGGCTGGGAATGCACTTTAATACGTCATGCCGCAGTTGTCGGGAGATAGACAAAAAAGAGACGCTTTTTCACTATCTCTGCGAGTGTCCGGCTCTTCAAAGGGCCAGGTTGTTGTCATTTGGGGAAACGGACATAATGGAACTGGGGAACATTTCTAGTAAAAGTATCGGGGACGTAGATAAGTTCCTTAAAAGAACGGGGTGGCTCTGATCGCTGGCCCTGGACCAACGTACTTTGACAACCGGGTTTCACGAGGCGGTGGTAGCAAAACGGCACGTCAGTGCTAATTGGGGTGTTGGCCAGTTGGGTCGCACCAGCCACTCTAACCAACCAACCAACCAACCGACAAAAAAGTTACATGATGGAATATAATCAAATTATAAAGCCAATATGGGGACGTATACAACTATACGATTGTGCCAAGCAAACACACATCACACAGACTTTCCAGAACAAGTAGCTTCGTAATATAGAGAGCTGAGTTAATGGTTAGTCAGTTTGACTAGTTTTAGGAGTTTATTGGTGGGCATTAACCCAGCAGCGTTTTTGGTTTGGTTAATGCCCACCACTATTGATAGGTCTGACGATAGTTTGAGTCCGCTTATCTTTGTCTTTCGATGATTTTTGATGTGTGTAATTTGAGTCGTACTGTATTGACTCTTTATCTCAGACAGTAACTTTCGTATCATAATTTTTATATATTAAACTGAAATATGTGTAAATTTAGAATTTATTTAATTAACTGTACATCCAAAAGGTCACTGGAACTCCGAAGAATCAATACCTTTTTACGAATAATTAAAGTAGTCGTTTTAAAAAAAAATTAGTGCGAATAAAAATATTTCTATTCTTTAAATACATAAAAAAATTTGTACCCACTTTTGATTAAATGTAAAATAGATAAGCAGTTATCGTCAATTTAATTTTTAATTAATTTAATTAAAAATATAATGTTCGTTTTGTAGGTATCTTAATAATGTCATAATTTTGATTAAAATTCTTTTATACTTTTATCGTTTTTTATAATAGCCTAGCCTATACAACTCTTTAATAAAAATATTTAAGAAATAGACACGAAAATACAAAAATATTTTTATAATATTAATTTTAATAATATTAATAATTTTGATATATGCTACGATATTAGAATAAAAGATAAAAATCAAAATTATACAAACATTAAAGAAATAAAAATTTTTTTTAAATTTTTTGCCTCCTTTATTACTTAGTTATATATGATCTTTCAGCACGCTACATGATATTAAAATTTTCAATCCTAATTTTTATATTATATATAGCCCAACATGATGGTAGGCCTAATAAGTCACGTATTATTGGTTTATTTCTTTATTGCCATTAATTATAACAGAAAATTAACGAACCTATAATAGTCCAAAAAAAAAAAAAACAAATTCTAAAACGATCAAATAACATTCTATTCTGTTATGTTATTAATGAGTGAACAATTATGTATGGCATTTTAAATATTATAACTACGAGTACATACATACCTATATATTATGTACCTATATGTTACATTATACATAATACATATAATAAACAATACTCTCCAACTCATTAAATATTTTGTTGTTGTTATTGTTATTCTCTGTGAGAAAAATTATTTGACAAAACGATTGCTTTAATAATTTCATTATTTAGAGGTCATTTTAAGGAATTAAAAATTACAGGTACTCAATTATTTTTGTAAAAAGAAAATTGTGCTTTTGATTTCATTGGATACTAGTGCAATTGTTTTATGGGAAAGATTTTGTAGTGCTTTCAATATTTTCGCTAGAAGGGTCAATATTACTGTATACCTAACAGCTCTAATTTTAAAAGCTATTGATAATAATTCATTAATTTGGATTAGTATAGATATAAACCCTAATGTGTAAAATCATACTATATTAAATGAAATGTAGATACACTTGGGCATCGATTTACATCCAATTTACGTAACGAAATAGGGGGGACCTAAAAACTTAAAGATGTAAATCGAAAACGAAGTATAAAATATAATATACAGAGTGATTTAGTAATCAGTGACATAACATATATTATCATTTGGCATCAAAAATGAGTAAAACTTATATTGAGAACTATAGGTTTCAAATCTCAATGGTTTTCGAGGTACAGGGATTTTAAAAAATTTTTACGAAATTTCTAATCCCCCAAGTCATTTTACTTATAGCTTCCATTCCGAAAAAAGTAGAGTCTTGGAACAACCAGTTTTTGAAAGGGCTAGTACAGAAGTTGAAAGCAACATATTACTTGATTTTGTACTTTGTATACTTTCGGAATACCAAGAATTCGAACTTTGAAAAAAATAAAATTTTTCCGTTTTTTTATTTTTTTAGTTTTCTAAACCCAATAATTTGATACGAAATTTTTGGAACAATTATAACAACAATCAATCTGTTTTAGAACAAAACAGAACAATCATAACCGGAAAATAGAAATGAAGATCTAAAATAAAAAGATGTAAAATGAAACGATTTAAATTGAGGCCCGGGTGTATTATAATATTAAAAAACAAATAACAGTGTTCGAAATGGTTATTGGCC